CCACTCTAAATTCTCGGGAAGAACAGCCTGAGCTTCTAACTACTGAGCCATCTCTCCAGCCCCTTCCTTTTCATTTTAAACCAAATGGAACTTTTGTACACCCACCCACCCTGACCTCATTACCTTGGGGTTATAATACAAAAAGAAATCTATTTCCACAACGATGACAAAGGATGGCAATTAGAGCCCAAACAATAGGCCCACATCATTATGACAGCTTAACCTAATAACAAAATCTTTAAATAGGTTTGCCATAGATAAAAATTCTAGAGGGACTTACTTATGATACCCGATGCTAAAGTGGGTATATTGCAAGAAACTACAGCTTCTTCCAACCCTCTCAACCTTTTAAACCCTTCTGACTCTGGAAAAGAAGGAAGTTATGGAGTACCAACGCATGTAGCTTCCAAAGGTGCAGCTAATCATAGGACTCTGTGAGAGCAGAACTGTGGTGCTTGAAACATCACCTTTAGAAATTGTACATCAGTGGCAGACAGAGAAGTACAAGAGGACTTTATGGTAAGAAGACAAGAGCTTCAGAGTGCTGAGGTCTGACAAGGCAAGCAAGATCCCGCAGGTCACTGAGACACAGCACAACCATTGCAACCATGACACACAGCAGCAATGGGATCAGTACCTGCTCCACATTGAGTCCTTCAAGGTTACATCACAGGAATAGGAAATGACATGAGCACCTACTCTGTTCCTGAAGATCTGTGTAGGGACCACTCACTATTGGATGCTGTGGAGCGGGGTATCATTGTCTTTAATGGGAAAGCAAGTAGGAGGCTAGTTAGATAGAAGAAAGCATTCAGAGAGAAAAGAAGACTGATACCAGAGCTAATGGGTGGAGAATATAACCACAGTGCGTTGTGCGTACATATGAAACTGTCATGCAATGATAGTAATTTTGTAAAGAAAGGCCTAGCATGTCCCTGTTACAGTGGGTAGGGGGTAAATAAAGGAGAGCTCCCAGGACCTTTGATCGAAGACTCCTGGGTCTTCAGTCCTTGTTCTCATAAGCCATTCGGTATGAATGGACAGGAACCAGGAAGAGATCTCGTGGGTCTGGATAATCTGCTGCCTGAGCACAATGCTGTCAGATCAACGAGGCATTGTTCATAGAGAGCCTAGTGCACCTGCCGCGGCTCTCACTGAACAGAACCTCTCTTTGTAATAGGATTTTACCTGCTTGCACCCTTGAACCTAGCAATTTGGAAAGAAAAGGCCTTCCTTAGAGAAACACACAAACAGAAATATCCCAATGCAGAAACCCGGGGAAGGCTGAACTATGGGGAGGACTACTTACACCTGACGGAGAAGACTGAAAGGTGCCCCATTGAAGGGACCTAAGTGTGTGACTGGGTTGAGTTTGATTCTCTCCACTTCCATCCCTTTTCTATAAAACAGAATGTTGTTGTAAGGACGAAAGACGTATGAGGTAAAATGAGCTGTAAGAATGTTGAAGGTCAAGCTGGTGAGGTGGCTCAGAGGGCAAAGGCCCTTGGCATCAAGCCTTAAGACCTGGGTTCTATCCCTGGGGTCCACATAATGGTAGAAAAGAACTAACCCCTGCAAGTAGTCTTCTAACTTTTACATGTGCACCATGGCGTGTACACACCCCAACACACTATGTAAGTAATCAAGTAATCGTGTAATTCATTTTTAAAAAGAATACTTAAGGTCATCGTTCCCTATTGCTTTCTACTCCTGGACTAGCCTTTATTATTACAACTTGCTATGTTCTTAGAACTTTAAAAATTATGCCCCAAAAGCATGTTTATAAATGTATCTGATCACAAACTATAATAGCCAACTATTGACTAGTAGAATCATGACGGACAGATAACGTTAGATTTATATAATCTTGAAAGGAGAGTCACATGTTCTACTAACAAGGTAGACTCAGAGCACAGGTAACTCCAGGGGCAGCTGAATACAAAACTTGATCCTAATTGGATCTGAGGATACTCAAGGGAAAAGCTATACTTCCTAAGGGAAGAAAGTGCCCAGTGATGAAGTGTTTGCCATGCAGACATGAGGAGCGGGGTACGCGTCCCTAGAATCTATATGAAAGCCAGGTGGTGCAAGGCCCACTTGTAATCTTAGGCGGTGGTGACGGAAGATCACAGAGTGAAATCTGGGGAGCTGGATGAGCTCAGGCTTCAGTGAGAGACCCCTGATCAGGAAAGAGAATGGAGAGCGATCTCAGAAGACACATGATATCAACATCTGGCCTCCACACTCATGGGTACACATGTGCATACACATGCCCATACATGTACCTGCTTACACATAAATACAGACACATATACATACATACGTACATACATACATACATACATACTCACACACACACACACCCCAAATAAAAAAACCCAAACCCTAATGTTCTTTCTGTCAAAGGTCTAACTGGATATGTTAGTTGTTTGCTTTTTGAGGATATTTTAGTGGAGTTGTCATTGTTTCTTTGTCAACTTGACATAAGCTAGAGTCACTTACCAAGAACAAACCTCAATTAAGAAAAAACGTCTCCATTGAATTGGCCCGTAGAAAAGTCTGTGAGGCATTCTTGATTAATGACAGATAGGGGAGGGCCCAGACCTTTGTGGATGGTGTTAGCTCTGGGCAGGCTGTATAAAAGAATCAAGCAGAGGAGCCATAGGAAGCAAGCCAGTGTTCCGCCATGCATCAGTTCCTGCCTCCAGCTTCCTACTTGAGTTCATGCCCTAGCTTCCCTCCATGATAAACTATGACATGGAAGTGTAAGCCAAATAAACTCTTCCCCCACCTCCAGGTTTCTTTTGCTTATCATAACAACAGAAAGCAAACTTGGACACCAGGCCAACAAAAGGAGCAATATATACAACACAGCATTGTTCCAACTTTCAGTTTACTGAGGTTGGAAACTACGAACTATTTTACGAAGAGAATATCTTTACTGTTAGTAAATATACTAATCTATTGAAGAATAAAAGCCCACGCAGCAATTTGGGAAATTTATTTTGTAATACATCACATCCTGCTTAAGACTTTACTTGTTGTCATCTGTTCTTTGCTTCTGAATTTATGTCAAGTTGACAAAGAAACAACGACAACTCCACTAAATTATTGTCTATTGAGAAAAATGTGTATATAAATGTGGCGTGTATCATACACATCATTAAATATAAAGCGTTACCATGTAATACATACTCTATTGTGTAAAATTAGTATATGGCTTCAGAAGCAAAGAACAGGTGACAACAAGTAAAGTCTTAAGCAGGATGTGATGTATTACAAAACTTGTACCACCTGTGGGGTACTAACAGTAAGAGGGGAAAGAGGACAAAATCCTACCACACTGGGACCGTTCTTCATGCTGTCATCTTTCCTTCCAACCTCTGAAGGTTTAAAAGAGTCGGGACTACTGTGAACTATATAGTTCTGTCTGTTCCTTTTACCCAATATAAACGACTCTTTGGGCTGGGTGAAAACACTCTATTATACATGCACACTTCAGCAGCTGCTCAGCTATTTCCCTAGAATTTGTTTGCAACGTTTGTGACTTACAAGGCTAAGTTAAATAGCTATAAGGTTAGGCAGGCTTATCGTCCCATACTTCTAATCTCAATACAAAAGAGGTTGACACCAGAGAACCACAAGTTCAAGGCCTGCCTAGCTACAGAGTAAGAGCCTGTCTTCTCTCCCCACAAAAGAGTGTTTATGTTCACTGTGCTTACTTTAAAAAAATATTTCTGTTTATATCTCAGTGATAGAGTCCCAAAATAGAATTACTATACCAAAGAGGATAAGCACTTTGATAACCAGCTTGTCGGAAGGTGAGCACACACCTTTATCTGTAAATGGGAAAGGAAACTCTGAATGGGATTTCCAGAGCCTGCTTTCACTCAGGAAAGGAAGTTACCACCACAGCGGGGAACAAAATTGCTGCCTTCATGTGAGACAGAGCGCAGAGACAAATAAGTACTGTAAGCTATTTTTGCCCTTAAAAGAGAAAAGGCCAAAACATTCCAGCCTCTATCAACACGCAGTGGCTACTAAGTGAGAGACACGGCCTCAGATGAAGACAAGCCTCTTATGCTGTGGGTATTCATCACCTAACAGATATTTCTGTTCTGTGGATTGGATAAGATCCTAACCATTTAGGAAGGAGGGATGTGCGTGTGAGTGTGTGAGTGTGTGTGTGTGTGTGTGTGTGTGTGTTTATGTGTATGCACATCCATGCTTGTATAAAAAATGTGTATATATATGAAGATACAGAGCCAAAAGTAAGGTTCACATTTAAACATTGCAGCCCCGCTAACTTATAGCAATTTAGTTTTGAACTCCCCCCCCCTTTATTTTTTCCTCAGCCCTGTGACAGAAAAGAGAAGTGTGGGCTGTCAAGATGGCTCTGTGTGCTCAAAGCCCTTTGCTACACAAGCCTGAGTTTGATCCCTGAAGCCCACAGCCAGAGGAGAGAACTGACTCCCGAAAGTTGTCCTCTGACTTCCACATGATAGCATGTTCGAGCATGCATGCATGCACGCACACACGCACACACACTCCATAACCCACACACAAATAGTATGTGTTTGGAATTTTCTTTTTAAAAGAAGGAAGGGCTGCAGTAGTAAGAGATGTGAAGTCTGATACCATGAGTCCTGAACAATTAGTCTCTTGTTTGAGTGAAACCTCTCTGAATTAAATTCCTTCATTTGCTAGAGAACACAGTTGAAATATAGAAGTGACTATATTCCACAGTGACTTGCAGGTCTCTGACTCTGCAGTATTTTCCAGTTCCAATAGTGCAAGAGAGGGAAATGGAAAGAGGTGATTTTCTTTGCGTGCATTACTTGTAATAGATGGTCAGAATCCTGTTCTAGAACCTGCTAGATCAAGAAAAGAACTTTATAAGGAAAGGGGACTCCATAACCTACAGAGTTCCCACCCCTTTAGAAAGCATAAGTGAGGCCGACCACTCTACACACATGGAGGAACCAGAAGAAGAAGCTCACCGTGGCCGTTACGGTAGTAGATCCATTTCTCCCGGTTCTGAGTTGGAGTCAAGGACTTCTTCAGCCCTGCCTTTTCCACTATGGCACTGGGATCCTGCCGGGGTCCCTTTTTGAGAGTCCTGGAGCTCTTTCGGATACTGCACACCACTATCAGCACCAGGACCAGCAGAAGGAAGAGCACAATCATCCAAGGCAAATGCTCATTGATGTCGAAATGCTTGTGTGGGTTCTGTCTGGGATGGCCCCTCTTGGGGGCCTTGATGGCTGTGCTGGACTTCTCACCGGTGGCCTCCATGGATGATGGCAGCAGTTTCAGAATGTGTCTGTGGTGAGGGGCTTGCTGGTGGGTAACTTGTGGTGGGGTTGGCAGGGTCCTGTTTGTGCCTTCCTTCCCACTTGCTGAGCTTGTATTATCAGGTACTGTCCCTTCCTCGATGCCACTTGGTACCTTAGTTCTAACAGAGGCAGTAGAGTTGGAATCTGTTGAGTTCATGCCTAGAAAAAAAGAGTAAGGAGGGGGAAGAGCTTTTCCATATTTGGGCATCTACACATTCTCTCCCGTGACTTGTCATCTCCAAGTGAGGGCAAATAATCAAAGAAGAGATGACTGTTGGAACTTAAGATCAAACATTATTTTGCACACTTTCATAAAGGTCTGAATAGCATCTTTATATAAAAGATAAAAATATGAATAGTTAAACTCTGTTTCTGTGCCCAGAACATGGGCATCTTTGGGGAAACCAATATTTGAGCTCTCATAGACTCTCTTAGACAGCTTCTCTTTGACTTCAAGTTTTATGTGGATAAATGTCTATCTGCCACTAGTCAACCCTTCATTGATTTGATTGTTCAGAGAACTCATTTAAATTAAATTCCTTCTCTCATTGTCCTCTTCCCTCACCTTTCATGACTCAATGATGAAACAGAGCCCATGACTAAGATAAAGAAAAGAGCTTGGGCTCAAAGCCAACCCGGTACAACAGGTCAGTAAACAGAGTAAGGCTGGACTTTCCTAGGAGCCGTCTCCAAGATCACACAGGGTTAGGACTGGCTTTGTTAACTTCTTTCTGTGACATTTCCACAATCAGTCCTCAGGAAAGAGTGTGAGGGACGGAACCTGAGACAGAACCTGGCTTGTGTTAGCCCCCAGGGCTACTCATACCTGTCTTTTCATTTCAAAATGGCGGGCGTGAGAAAGCGTTCCCTGGAGTTGAAGGCAAGACATTGTCACACACAACAGTGTGCTAGTAGGCACAATTTAAGTTGGCCATATCTCATGGGAACTAAATGAGATGAAAGAGGATCTGGCAAATTTTGAACTTCTGCCTGAGTGTTGACTGGCATATGATAGGCAAACAGGGATAAAGGCCATAAACTCAAGCTGGAAAAAAAACATTAAGCCATTTTTTTTTCAGATGTGAAGGCTGGTCATCTTTACTCAAATTTAAACTTCTATCTTTTTTGTCCTATCTTGGAATCAACACTCCTCCCTTCCTTCCAGATATAATGACAAGCTCTCCCTTGCTGTCTCTCCTCTGGCTCTGTCTACCCACAATTAACACCATTTTGCATAACTTTTTTTTACTCTGAAAGGAACCTTAAACATCTAAAAATCACTCAACTCACTCACTCAGGCCCAGCACTGAATGGGTTAAGTGATTTACATAAGGTCACACACACTGTCCTTATTTTTCGAAGTTCTTATTCGCCAATTTGATGTAACCTAGTTTCTAGATATCTGTTGTCTCCTAATAGAAACCTTCTGAGTTGCAATATTTCTATTAAGTCCAAAGAAGCCAAATTTAATTAGTCACAAAAAAATGAAGGCTCCCTCCTCCAAGGGATGACTTTTAGATTTAGCAAAGTGGAGAGAACACCTTTGGTTAGAAGCTCGCTCTACCGGGCTCAAAACCTTCCTCAAGCAAGTAATTTGTGAGGTTGAATTACCTTGGGGCTCATAGGTGGAAGAAGGGACATCGTGGGAGTTCATGTGCTCAGGGTGAGAAAAGATAGCTGTGGCAGGGGAAGGTGGGGTTGTGCTGGAGAACAGGTGCATGCCACAGACATTGTCTGTCTCCTTGGTCCCCGGCTTAACCACCACCAGGTTCTGACCCAGACAGTCTGTGTGGGCTTTACACTTCATCACACTGGAAGGCACGTCAGAGAAGGTACCCCGAGCACACTGCTTACACCGAACATCTTCATTCTCGGTCCCTTTCTTCCGCACACCCCAGCCCACAGGGCACACTGTATGGGGAGCGCAGGTACCATTAGACTGATACGTTCCAGGTGGGCAGATGCACTCTCGGTCAGTCAAGGCAGCGCAAGGTAATCTCTCAATCATCGGCCACGGACATGGCTGACTACAGTCATGGCATCTCTCTATGCCGTTCTCATGCCTGGTAAAGGTCCCCGCAGGGCAGCTGCTGCAGACTCGCAGGCTCGTGTTGGTACAGTGCTCAGAGACATACGTTCCTGCCGGACACTTGTCACAGGTTAGCACCTGGCCAGTGGTACGGTCAACATGGCGGTACGTGCCAGTAAGAGTGAGAGTCTTTTGTTCTGGTTGAGCTGTGACAGTGCTGAGGAATCCAAGCTGAAAGAAATAAGAGAACTGTCAGATAGGAGCAGAGGAGAACGGAGTACCAGCAACGACAACAACACGGTCATCACCACTGTTCAGGATCTGGTGGGTACCACTTCAGCTTGACATCAGAAACAGGGAGGCGTGTGCCAAAGTTGTCACTTCCATAGCACCTGGATGCCTGATGATAAACTGTTGTTTTGTTTTGTTTCGACAAACAAGCATACTTTTGGCATTCCTGGTATGTCCATTAAACAACAGAGCTGATGATGGTTTTAGATTCAAACCCAGTTTGTCCGGTCTCTGAAGGCCACAGCCAATAGACACATATCCCCACAGGCACCCACTGAAGAATCTATGCATTGAGCCAGATCCAGCAAGAATAACTCGGTGGTCATGTTCTAAAAGAAAAACTTCACCAAGCAGGTCGGAGTTAACACCAACTTCCAGAATAAAAACTTGGAGGACCTGTTGGGCATGGTGGCACACGCCTTTGATTCCAGCACTTGGGAGGCAGGGGCAATCGGATCTCTGAGTTTGGAGCTAATCTGGTCTATAGAGAGTTCTAGGACAGCCAGAGCTACACAGGGACACCCTGTCTCAACAAACCACACACACACACACACACACACAAACGCACACACCAAAAGAAAACAAAAACAAAAAAACCTGGGGGATCCCAAGTTCTAAGATGAGGAGCAGGAAGCAAAGACTAGCGAGATTGCTTCCCTGGAGCCACAGAAATGGAGAGGCCATGACAATCTTTGTCATCCTCAGTGACATGAAGACATTTGTATAAAAATCATGGCTGCCCCAAGCTACCAGCTACAGAACAAATTCCTTCTAGATTTATAGCTACACTGGTAACTGAAAGAACAAAGCAAAAAAACATTAGCAAGATGATCAAGGGTTTGTCTTAGCATCTCGAAACTTGACCAGAGTCTATGCTTTCCCAACCCGACGGTTACGTGAGGCCAGGGTACTTCCTTGTCTCTCAGGCGATCTTGGGTTTTTCTCCTTAGAGCTTATGATATACTTAGTTTTTCTTCAGCCTAAGTCTGAAAGTGGGGGTGGAGGCGGTCAGGGGTGGATAGTAGTCTGTTTTCTTGCTGAGAAACTTAACTTCATATTAGAAACTGAGAAGGAAAAGAGCCTGCTAGTTGGTGATAAGTTCTGTCTGTGTCTTCCCTCTCAGGGTTTGGCTTTGCCCTTCCTTTTCCTGCTCCTTCTACTTGCACAACGAGCCCAGACACCTTCTACTGAGCTCAGCAGATGCCCTGGGTGAAGGAAACCATCTGTCCGATGGAGCCCGAGCACAAGATTAATGTCGTGCCCCACCCCCATTGTAGACTCAGAAGTGTGCACCCTGGGGAGATACACAAAGCTCCAGGAAACAAGTCGACACCAGCCTCCCCCACCCAGGGCTCGTGATCTGTGGAGCCACCCTGAGTGTGCCTGTGGTTGACTACACCCACCAGGCTAGGCAAGGATTCAGTTTAGTTCTAAGACCTTCTACGACCAACTGGGATGGTAGGTTCTTTCCTGGTGTCTGACCTGTCAGGGGTCACTTAGCTGTATACAAACCCCACCCAGCAACCCCACATCCCCTACATTCTATACCATGCTTGCTCTATTTGAACTTCTTGATTTCTTGGGGGAGTAAAAAAAAAAGGTTATCAGATTATTTTGAAGATATTTCATTTCGAGATAAAGCCCTTATTTGATAATCCAGGCTGGCCTCAAACTCGTGGGACTCCTGACTCAGACTCCCCAGTTGCTGGGATTACAGGTATGAGCCACAGAGCTGGGCTAATCTGTTTTGCTTTTTTTGGTTTGTTTGTTTATGTAGTTGATACAGAGTCTCAATATACAGCCAAGGCTGGTGTCAACGTTGTAATCCTCCTGCCTCAGAATCTTAAGGGCTGGGATTATAGGTATACACAACCATGCCTGGCTAATTTATCAGTTCTTAAAGGACTGTAATATTGACCTATAAAATCACCTAATCTATCTCCTACAAACAGAACCAAGGAGAGTGTGAATTAACCGTGTTTAGTGAAGTGGATGGAGGAAGAAACCAGTGGGACAGAAGCAAGCACTGAACTGGACAAAGATCACAGGGCTGCCTCTTGGCCAAGGAACAGTGGGAGGAGCCCTTCACTTCTCTCTCAAACAGAACAGCTCTGCTTTGCAAAGCCTAATCAGAGGGCAGGTCTGTTGAAAGCAGAGCTTATTACTCAAGCAACAACTACTGGGGCCTCTAAAGTCTCCTGAGATTCCAGAGTCAATCCATAATCCTGCTGTGCTATTTAAAAAAGAAGAAGAAGAAGGAAAAGCCCTTTCTAAAGTTTTCCCACCAGATGTGGAAGGACTTGCCTGTAATCCCAGTACTAGGGAGACTCAGAGGAGAGGACCACGGGACCCAGACCAGTCTGGGCTACATAAAGAGACTTTTTGTCCCAAAACAAAACAAAATCTCCTTGTGATGGCACATGTTTGTAAATATAACACTTGAGAGGCTGAGGTAGAGGGGATGAGGAGTTCAAGGCTATCCTTGGCTACATGTCAAGTTTGAGACTCCCTTGAGCTACCTGAGAACATGCCTCTAAATAAGTAAATAAATAGTGCGCACGTGTGCACGCGCGCACACACACACATGCATACACGCATGTGCACAAGCATGTGCGCACCCCACACACTAGCTTTTCCCTCTAACCCTGCAGCTATGGGCAGAAATGGATCAAGTTAAAGACCATATTTAAAGACGGCCCCTACTTAATATATAAATTGATTATAGCTAAAGCTAACACTGGAGGAAAAAACAAACACAGTGAAACGGGGTGACAATGTCATTGATAGATTCGAGACAGTGACAGCAAGAAAGTGAGGCTGGGTCCTTCCGATTAAGACCCTTGATCCCCCATATGTACAGACATGGCTAAGACAGGCCAGGGAAGTCTAACAAAGCTTCAGGCCTTTGAATACAGTACTAAAATTGCCTGGGAAGAGTAGGGTGGTGGTTCAGTAGTTAAAGTGTTTGCCACATAATCGGAAAACAGTTTGGATTCTTACGGCTTATATATATAGCAAGTGGGTACAGCAGTCTACTTGTAATTCCAGCACAGAAGTCAGGGGATTCCTAGAAGAAACAGGCAAGAGAGACTACCAATATCAGTGAGCTCTGGGTTTGGCTTAAGCATTTGCCTTGCTGAACAGGGAAGAACAATTGAGAATGACTCCCAAAGTCAACCTCAGTCTTTCATGCGCATATGGACCCACACATGAGTGCCCAGACAGCTGCAAGCAAACACACATGAAAATGGAAAAAGAAAAAATAATACTGTCTGAGATGATTTTTGAAAATACCTTCTTCATAGACCTTGTCTTATCTCTGAGATCGTTGTGAGTCTACAACGGGGTGAAGAACTTATTTTGTTTGGCTGTGGGTTTTCTTGTCTTTAAGCAATCTGAATGTTTCTGGCATCCATCTAACTTTTGAGGCCCTAACACTAAACCAGGACCCCTCTGGCTCTAAAATTCTTTGATCCTGAGCCACACTTTGGACACAGTCCAATCCCACTTTCAGGGTCACTCCCTCCATCACTACCTAATGTGGCATTTTTAATTAGCTCAATATTAGCATTTCACTAAGAACTAAGTCTTAGGAGAGATGACAGAGGTTTTGGTTAGTCAACAAAATGATGGACTGGGTATTAGGTCTATCTTGTACCTTACTGATACAAATTGGTATAGTTATGCTCTATTTGTATTTTGAGAGAAAAGTTTTATCTTAACAGGAAGGGTGATATGTAGGAGGAGCTAAGGTGGGAGGAGTAAGGAGAGGAGGAGCATCTGGGGGAGGAGGGGAACATGGAGGCGTATGTTCACGTGTCTGTAGCAGTCAAAGATAGTTGGTATATCTAGGTTGGGTATTGGGTTATACTTCTGATTGTATGGGCATCTTGTTATTGAGCATTACCAAACTTATAAAGCCTTCGATTAACATTTAAAAAATAAAAATAAAAAAATAGAAAAAAAAGAAAATAAATAGAGAAGGCTGGACAGGAAAAAGATGAAAAGATGATTATTTTAATTTAAAAAATTAGCATTTCACCCCCCAAAATAAGCATCCTTGTAATAATCCTACCAATTTGGAACTACAGGTTCTCAACTTCCCCATTCTCTTGTTTGAGTTGAGTTTATGTATGCAAAGGGGAACCAAAAAAGCCAACCATGTTGCTCTGTGATTGCTTTTTTACTACTTCTGTTTCGGTCACCGAGATCTGTCTGTTTTAACATACAAACTCTCATTCTAACAGTTAAGAGTTCCTCAACAGAATGAGTACATTCTAGAGAGCTGGGCTCGGCCGTTAGAGGCTAGGCGCACAACCAATAGAATGGGTATGCCTTACTTTAGAGGGTCTTCCCACCAAGGCTTCGTTGACTGTTTTCTTGTGTATAGGTCAGTGTACACTTTTCTATTGTGCATAACTGCTTCTTCTCTCCCGGATCCCTCCCCTAGCTTCTCGTCTCTCTACCTCCATCCAAGTAGCAGACACAATCACCCTGGCCCCAGTCTTTTGGAACCCAAAATGCAATCGATAATCTGAAGCTACTCCATCCCCTCACCCCTAGCAATACCAAATATACACACAAAAATACACACAAAAACATCTATGTATACATATAGGCGCTTCTGGGTGGATCGAACAGAAAAAGTCAGGAAAAGAATTGGACAAAGATTCTGAAATGAGGAGCCGCATCCTTACCCAACCTGTCTGAAAGACAACAGGATCCTGGTTTGCTCACTTATGAAATGAACAGGTTGAATTCAGTAGTGATATTCAATCAACTCTAATCTCCTGTATGTTGTGATTTTGCCAAGTCCTACCACCCTTATGTAGCCTTCAAAACTCTTTCTAAACACCCAGATGCCAAGCGGATGAGCAAGTGGCCCCATCACATTTCCTGTCTCTGTCCATTCTATCAGCGTCTAATTACATAGTATCTCG